ACTCCTGCACCCAGTTGGTGGCACCTCTCAGGTCCCTAGACCTGGCCCTGTGGGGCAGATGCTGCGCCCTGGATGGAGACACCTGAAGCTGCGCCCAGTGCCCTGCTGCCCTTGTCCCTCACGCCGTGCTGCCTGTGGGCTCCTTCTCCAGCATCTCCTGGCCCAGGGCCTCCGACCACGGCAGTGATGGGCAGAGGGTGGGCGGACGGGGAAGGGAATGAGGCCGAGGGAAGGGGCCAGTCATTTCCCCGTCCTCCTTTGTCGTACCCTTGAACATGTACATCACTGAAGATCGCAAACAACCAGAGGGCTCTGTATCCTGGCGGCCAGCCTCCTGTGTAGGTGTGGGCAGCAGACGAGGCCTCGGCACACGTAGGCTGGAGGCCAGTCTGGCCAGGCGCCGCTGGTCGTGGGGTTGGGTGTGTCTCCCCCAGAGTGGCCTCGGCACACGTAGGCTGGAGGCCAGTCTGGCCAGGCGCCGCTGGTCGTGGGGTTGGGTGCGTCTCCCCCAGAGTGGCCTCGGGGCTGCTACCTTCTCGCTGGACTCTCAGGTCCCAGGGGCAGCAGGTCACCTAGAGCAAGACCTGGCTGAGGGTGAGTGGGAGGCAGCTGGGGGAAGCTGGTGGCTCTTCCAGGGCCGTCTGCAGAGCCAGAGGGCTCTGGACGGAGGGACTGACCTCCCCCTCAGGGGAGCCAGACAGTCCTCTACATGCAGAGCAGGTCAGCAGGGTCTCGCGTGAGCAGAGTCTCGGGGCCCTGGCCATCACTGGTGGCCAAAGGGAGCTGGACCAGGGACTGAGGTTCTGGCAGAGAAGGGGCGTGCCCGGGAGGTGACCCACAGGGGCCCTCTGGCTGGCTGGTTCTTGAGGAAGTAGATGGAAGGGACCAACCATGGGGAGCAGGACTGGTGAGGGGTTGAGAGGGACACAGGCACCTGGCGATGGACTAGGAGGTCGGGGAGGGTGCTGGGTCAGCTGGTGTCTGGGAAGGCAGGGGACACTGGGGCAGCCGGGCCCCGTCTTTGGCATAGTGGGGCAGGGGCAAGGATGTTCTCAGGACCGCGGGATCCAGGAAGCCGAAGGAGGCCCATGTGTCTGAGGGCATGTGAGCTCACCAGGGCTGCAGCAGCTCCACAGACCAGGGCTGATGTCCAGGGTTCCTCGTCTCAGGGCTCTGGAGCCGGGAGCCCTAGGTGGCAGCGTGGCAGAGCTGGTCTCCTCTGCCTGGCTTGTGCCTTCAGTCTGCACCCTCCAGGAGTCCTCGGGTCACACTGGATCTGGGCCCAGCCCATGATGTGGCCCTGATCACCTCTGCAGCAGCCCCATCTCCAGATAGTCAGGTTCTGGGTCCTTGGGTCACCTGGGGCGGGCTTGACTCACTCAGGTGCACTCAGAGCCCCCCCAGCATCCTTGGCAGGTGCCACGTGGGTAGGGTGGGCTGGGTATTCACCTCCAGCTGCTGAGCACTGGCCTCGGAGGTCACACTAGGCCCCAGAGGTCATGCCAGTGCCTGGAGGTCATTCCGGGCCAAGGTCCTGCCCAGTGTGACTTCCTTCCTGGGTGGGGAGAAGCCACTGGTAGTTCCTGCCCCAGCTCTAGGGATGTGCGGGGTGTCCACGGGAACCCAGGGTGGGGAGGGTGTGAAGAGGACCCCACCCCCATGAACCCCATCCTCACGTGTCAGACATGCAACTAAAGGAGGGCTTTGCGCCCCAGAGCTCGGCTCCGGCCCTTCTGGTCTTGGTTTCCCATCTGCGATGCAGGGAGTTAGACCTGAGGACTGGCCGCATTGGGGTCCTTATGACATCGCAGCAGCAGGAACATAGAAGTCACGCCCGCCCCGTGATGCCGCCCCGTGATGCCACACCGTGGACTGTGCAGCACAGTGGCCCAGGAAGCTCTGCAAGCTGCAGTGCAGTGGACACTGGTTCCCACTGGGCCCTCCCTGGGCACCATGGGCACAGGAGAATGCTGGGCACCTTCGTGCCTTCTAAAGACGCAGCGCCTCTCCTCCCTGGAGGGCGCAGGCTGGCCACATGTGCCCCTCCGGCAGGATCTGTCCAGCTTGGGAGGAGCTTCAGCTGCACGCAGTGCTGCAGAGGGGCTTCAGCCAGGGCTGAGCCAGGACAACGGTCAGAGGCCTGAAGTTCGGGTGTCTGGCCTGTGCCCTGTGGGCTGGCGGGTGCCCGCTGTCTGTCTTGCTGTGCTCTTCGCACTAGAAGGCCGCCCGTGACATCCGAGACCTCAGACTCAGTGAGCGTGGGTGGACCTGGGGCCTGTGGCTGCCTGTCTGTTTCCTTGCCCGGTGGGCACGAGCTCTGCTGGCCTGCTCAGGGAGGTCTTCAGGGATGAAGCAGGAAGGTGGTGTCCCAGCGCTGCCTGTGTTGATGACCACATGGGATGGAACATCGGCTCAGCCCAGACTGCCCCTAGCCAGGCTGCTGGAGGCTCAGCAGCCACCAGCTTCCCAGTGGTGGTGGCCAGTGGTGCAGCTTCCACCCTGGCTGGGCCGGGACCCTGAGGGACGCCTGGTGCAGGGTACCCAGCCCCCCGTAGAGTTTCCAGAAATGTCGAGCCTACAGCAGCTGAGGACGCAGGCACATCGGCTGGGGGAACAATCTCCTCGGCCACTCCGTAGGCCCAGAACCTGGGGCAGAGGACCTGAAATCCTGGGAGGGGTCCTGAATGTCATCGGGACCCTCGGTGGGCTCCGTGTGGATGGAGCCCTGAATGCTACTATCATGGCAGTGCCGAGGTTCTTGGGTGCCATTGAGATCATCCTGACTCTGGGGACAGAGGGTGACATCCAGCTGTGGAGTGTCCTGCAGCCAGACACTGAGCCGGAGCCTGTGCAGGAGAAACATAAAGGGAGCTGCAGAATAGTAGGTCAGAGTGTTCAATAAGCCCTTCGTGGGTAGCATCCAGCCCTGGGGCAGAAGGCCCATGGGCCCGGACAGCCAGGGAGCAGGGAATGAGTGGTCTTCCTGGTGAGAAGGGCCTGAACTTATATCCTGTTAATCTTGAGTTTAAAAATGTGAAAGTCACTTTAAAACCGGGGAGAACATTGTTTGGAAGTTGCTCTATCGGGGCACCTGAGCAAACCCTCCTGGGGGTGGAGTTGAAACCCTTCCCCATGCTCTTCTGCTCCGCCATCCAGAGGAGCTGGGAGACAGACGGGCAGCTGAGGGCTGAGAGGGGCAGAGGTGTTCTGTGCGGAGGCAGCTGCAGGTGGTGTGTTTATCAAGGTCCGAGCCGCTGAGGCCGGAGGTGGGACAGGGCACCCAGTGGGTCTGACAGCTACAACAGACCCCCTGGCAGGGGCGCAGTGTGGCGATGGCTGAGGCGGTCATCCAGCAGGTGTCTTAGGATAGCCAGGTGGAGGTGCTCCTGAGAGCAGCCGGCTGAAATTAGCAAGTGAACAGAAGATGTCCCCCAGCTCGGGGTCTGGCCACAGCACATGGTGAAGTCATCACCTGAGCATCGGGTGGGGGGGGGGTCGATGGCCCAGCAGGGGGTCAGTGGTGAGGAGCCACGTCAGGTGGCCGGGAGCCTGGCAGACAGGTGGCAGGATACCATCTCAGCTTGGGGTGGATGAGTTGGGGGGCCTTGCTGCCATCACCAGGCCCCGGGGCTGAAGTCAGTTGGGCAGCCAGCTGGGCCTGTCTGTCCTCGGCAAGGTTCCCACGAGCCTCGGAGACTGCGACCTTGAAGCTGGACTCCAGGCACCAAGTTCCAGACAGCAGAAAGGAGTGGGGTGCGGCAGCTGGGCTGTGAGCGCAGGGACAGAGAGGGTGGTGGGGCTCAGGTGTCCTTCAGGGCCACATACATGGGGGCAGCCTCCACACAGCAGGGCTGGGGGACTCCTGTGACAGCCCTGTCCACTCAGACACTGGGATGCAAATGGGCGTGATCTCCAGGCTGGATGCAGCCCTAGGGCCCCCAGCAGGTGGGGCATGGTGGTAGCCCTGGGAAGGCCACCCAGGGACTGCAGGTGAGGCCTGCACCCCCCGACGGCCAGGCCAGGACCCCCTGAGCCTTTTCGAAACAAGAACAATGGGTCTGTCGGGAGCCTGTTTGGTGTTGCTAGCTTGGAGACCAAAGGGGACAGCACAGCCCATGGTCTCACCGTGGTGGCTCTTGGCGCCTGGACGTGTCAGAACTCACCACACTGCACCTCACTCAGTGAGCGTGATGTGTGTGTGAGCCACACCTCGAGGTGCTGGCTCCACATCAGACTGCTGGGGCACTATTGAGGGCAGGCACCCGCTCAGCCTTGAAGCTGGGCAGGGAACCTTACTCTCTGGCAGGCCAAAGGGCAGCAACCAAGTGGCCTCTGCGCCCTTCAGCCCCCAGCAGGAGCTACAACACATCTATTATAGCCCAGACCACCACAAAACCACAGGCAGAGGAGGAAGTGGGTCGGAATAACCCAGTTCTAACCCAGGTTAGGGGACATTGCACAAGAATAAAAGCMACTGCGCATGGCCACACAGGTGTGCTTAGCAGGAGGTGGGTTACAGAGGCGGGGTTCTCACGCGGAGTCGAGGGTAAGACGAGTTGTCTGCTCAAGGCACGTCTAGCTTGGCCCACCGCCAGGCTCCTGAGCCTTCCCTGGAGATGGAACCGCAGGAGTGGTGTGGAGCTGGACCCTACTCCAGGGCATCAGGGCAGCTGTGCCGGTGTGCCAGCTGGCTTTAGGACCTGCTCATCCTGGCCCAAGTGGAATAGCCAGAGAGCCAGTCAGGCTCCATGATGGCTGCACAGCTGCCCTGGCCTGCCAGTTGTGCTCCAGACTGCCCGGGGGGGGGGGGGCTGCTGGACCTGAGGCTGTGCCCGTGGACTCTCAGACCTCATGGCCTAAACTGGCATCTGGCTCACCTGCCAGGCTCCTGTGTGACTCTGAGTAAGGCACCCAACCTTTCTGTGTTTCAATTCACTGACTGTCAGGTAAAGTCAGAACAGTGTCCACTCTCTGGTGCTGACCGCTTCCTATCCTTGCAGGACTGCTGTGCTCAGCGAAGGACCCTGCGCCCGCCCCTGAGCAGCRACCATGGGCCTGCTCGCCTACCTGAAGACCCAGTTCGTGGTGCACCTGCTCATCGGGTTTGTCTTCGTGGTGAGCGGGCTGGTCATCAACTTCACCCAGCTGTGCACGCTGGCACTCTGGCCCATCAACAAGCAGCTGTACCGCCGCCTGAACTGCCGCCTGGCYTACTCACTCTGGAGCCGTGAGTGTCCGCCCGCCCTCTCCTCTAGGGGTGGGCCTGAGGGGCAGAGCAGGTGGGGCCTGAGCCCTCTCCAGTGCAGGGACTGAGGGGCTGCTCCGTGCTGTCCGAGTCACGCCTGGCAGCGGATCTCAGTGCCAGCCTTTGCTGGGCTGAACCATGTTGTGTCCACACGCGGGAACATYGGGACCCCGCGAGGCCGATCCACCTGGTTTAGTGCTGGGGATGTCTTCAAGAAAAGTGAAGGCAGCCGTCAGCTCAGCCTCCCRGCCCAGCTCCCAACACACAGCTGGTCTGGCTGCCCGGTACCAGAGCCTGGCGGAGCAGACCTCAGGCACTCCACGCTCCTGAGCGTCCTGCAGTGTGCGTCACCAAGAGAAAAGGACRGGACTGCCCTTAAATAATGTGTGTGTGGGTGTCCGTCTGTCCATCTGAACGTGCTAGCGCACAKGTGTGCACCTGTGCACAGACCCCCCCATCCCCCGCCATCTGCAGGATGGCAGAGAGCTGCTCACGCCAGCCCAAGGGCGTACAGGCAGGCACGTCCTCGCAGGGAACATGGCAGTGCTGCTGGCAGCTCTGGTGGTTTGGTTTTGGGTCCAGTTCCTCCACGAAACAGGAACACAGGCTAGAGATCTGCAGGAGCACCTGTGCGGACAGGCGCCCGCATGGTACCGCATTCATTTTGGTGCAAAGCTGGCAGTAAGCCTGGTGCCCTTGGTGGGGACTGCACGTGGCTGTCCCCACAGTGGGAGCCCCCATGGACACCAGGAGCACCTCTGCTGGTAGCAGCTGTCTGCCAAACACTAAGTGAAAGCAAGGTTCACCACAAAGTTCAGGTGTGCTGTTGTTTGTGTTTTGTGGTTTTTTAAGACATTGTGCGTGGGTGTGCGTGTGAGTGTGGCAGAGTGCGTGACACGCCGCCAGAGAGGTGTTCAGGGAGGCGCAGGAAGGGTTTCTSGTCTCCCTCGCACGGCCTGCTCCTCAGGTGTCTGGGCATGCGTGTSTGAGCGTGCGCAGGGGGAGCGCGTCTCCTGGCCTCGCCTCCACCCCACCCTGCTCAGGAGCCAGCAATGGCCCCCCGATCCACTGCCTCAGAGACCCAGCCTCACCCTCCCTTCAACATAAGAGACCTCGGCTCCTCTGTGGGAAGGGAGAATTAGGAACCTGCTGTCCAGCACCTGTGAATGAGTGTGGGTAGACTTGGTAGAAATGCACACAGAAGGGGCAGCATTAGTGAGGACTGAATCAGACTCCCATTTCCAGTAACGTTCAGAAGCAAAACATAAAACAACCAAATCTTTAAGGAAAGGAAACCTCTCAGCAGAAACGGAGAGTCAGGTTAAAGTAGGGTGCTCGTATTCAGGCCCCGACAGCAGGCAGCCACCATGGAGTGGAGCCCACACCACCTGGGGGCATGCACAGAGGGTCGCCAGCGCTGGACTCCGCAGAGTGGGCGGTGCGGGCTCTGCAGGCTGGAGAGCATGCAGTTCACACCCATGATCAAGGGCAGACCCCAACTGCAGACTTGAAACTACCAAGACCAAATTGAGAAGGAACCAAGAAGAACTTAAATAAATGAAAATCGTAGACTAGACTTTTTAAACGTGAAAACTTGATGGGTTGATTGGACATTGCGTTAGTCCCACAGAACAACAACGTACCATCCAGACACAGCAGAGGGGCCGGAGATGGGAAGTAGGGAAGGACATTAAAAGAGATGGCGTGAATGTCCTTGCCACGGGGTTCGGGTTCCCATCCCAAGGAGGGGGGCAGGTTGGAGCACGTAGGAAGAGGTGGTGGCTGAGAATTTCCCCACGCTGACGCGAAGAGGGTTCTGCAGGCGCAGGAAGTAAACACGTACAGACCTTGCAGGAAAAAACACAAATGTGCACCTGGGCACCAGGCTGAGATAGAGGGGCCTKGAGTGTGCCAGGAGGAACGTGGGAGACCGGTCAGGGCAGGCAGGGCCTCACAGCACTGCAGGAAGAGGGCCCGACGTCCTCCGTCTGCAGAGGCCAGCTGCCTTCACCTTCACCTGGCATCAGCAAACGGCCTTTCAGGAGAAAGAATGAGATAAAATAACGGTGGCCATGTAGACAGACAAAGGAGACCCCGCAGAGTCTCRCCAGTGTCTTCTGAAGAGCATGTTTCCCTAAGAACAAACCGTCCTGGAGATAGGGACTGAGTCCCGAGAAGGAATGGCGGCTGAAGACATGGGCACAGGTGACTCCAGACGGCCGCATCACACAGCAGTGATGCCCAGAGGGTAGGACGGAATGAACCGTGCTGGGCAGCCTGCTCGGGAGGGCAAGCCAGGTGACCCTGCCTGGCCTCAGGCTGGTCGGGAATCGGGTGAGAGTCTTACCTGGAGACTTCACCAACTGCGTGGGGGGAGGGCAGCGAGAAGCAGGCAGGACTCCCAAAGTCTGGACAAGGGTAGATCGAGCTGGTGTCGGCTGTGGCCCCAAGTCCTCGGTGTGCTGAGGAGCATCCCTTGAGCCCTGAGTTCAAGGCCAGCCTGGGGAACACAGCGAGACTCAAGATGAAATGGCCTGGGGCTGGGGCTGGGGCTCAGGGGCAGAGCCCTTGCCTTACATGGGTGAGGCCCTGGGTTCCCTCCTCAGCACTGCACAAAAATGGATAAACAAAACAAAGACATTTTGCCCATGTACGATTAAAAATTATTAAAAAAAAAAAAGATGGACTAAGAAAACAAAGACAAATCCTGGTTTAAAAGAAGACAAGACAGTTAAAAAAAAAAAAAGACATGAAAGCCCAACAGTAAGAATCATTGAGGCAGAAATCAAGAAAATCAGCGTCGAATCCTCAAATATTTGAAATGAAGGCAGCCCAGGGACGTGCCAGCCCACCTGACTCCAGTGGGGGACATTCCTCGTCTGCGTCTCTCTGATAATGTCCATGTGGCCGCAGCCCACAGCATGCACTGGGGACCTAATCCCTGCTCCATGCTGCCCCCAGCGCTGACCCAGCCCTTCCTGCTGCCCCTGGGCGAAGCCTCACACAGCAGGACGCAGACTCCAAACCTCAGCTCCAAACCTCTCTCTGTGAAACAGACGCGATCCCCCTCTGCTGTGTGGTGGAGTTACAGGAACACAGAGCACTGTCCTACAGTGGTCAGGGGACCCCTGCTGCTGTCAGGCACTGTGGTGAAACGTGCAGAGACGGCTTGGTCGTTGAATGAGGGGGACGTTAAGTCAGCTGACTGAATCTCCGCTGCCGGCTCTCAGACTGGAGGGAGGCCAGCTCTGAGAACGCCCGCCCCAGACACCTGTCTCTCCCTTCACAGGAGCAAGCAGCAGTGGCCTGAGAGCCACCAGCAGCTGGGGGTGAAGACAAGGCGCAGCGGGTGATGGGGTGCTGCTAGCAGTAGACAGAAAGGGGATTTCTGGGGGGGGGCCAGTGTGGGTGACCCTGAGGACGTGGTGTAGAGTGGGTGAACCGTCACTGGAGGACAAATGCTGCGCACCTCAAGTGCCAGGAAGCAGGGTGTGCACCGAGGAGGGGAGGGGCAGCAGCGGATCGGGGGGTGTGACAGGTCCCAGTGCCCACTGTGCCTCCGATGGCCGTGCTGCACTAGACACCTGAACGCGCAGTAAGAGGGCAGATCTCATGTGGAGAGTTCCTACTGCAATTAAAAGAAAAAGTCCCCATCTAGCAGAATGCACTGTGAACAGCAGCCCCCCAGCCCTGGGGGGCCCTCCCCCAGTTAGGTCCGAGTGTGCTGGTGGGAAACAGAGCCACGCCACCAGGTCCTGTCCGTGTCCACCCCAGGTGGCCCTGCTGGAGAGGGGAAGCCGGTCAGCGGGCCCTTCTCAGATGCGCAAGCCAGACGTCACCTTGGTCACCTTTGTTTTCTTTTCAGACAGTTTTACTGAGTTAAAAGTCCCCACTTAGAGTGCATGGCCCCCTGGTGGGGCCCCACCAGGCTCCTGTCTGAGCCCAGAACGAAACCTGGGGCCTTAAGGGTCATTCCTCAGCCCGCCCTGGCCCAGGCAGCCCTGAACTGCTTTCTGTCCCTGTGGTATGCCTGTCCGTGTCACGAGGTGGAATCACAGTAGGTGCAGCAGCCTCYGAACTCAACCCTTGCTCTGGCTGARCTCCGCCCGTGCGCCCAGACAGCAGCGGGGCTGTGGGTGTCGGCCACGGGCTGCGCAGCCTGCGGCTTCCCAGGCACATGCCAGGTGGGGCTGCTGGCCTAGGTCGAGTGTGCTGGGGACCGTGGCTGCAGACCCACCCGCTGCTTTCCAAGGCAGCTGTACGATTTGACGTCACCACCATGAGTGCACAAGGGTCCCAGTCCCCACAGCCTTGCCTACTCTCGCTCTTGTCTTGGTGGCCGTGAGTGCTCTCTGGACTGTGTCCCGCTGGTTCTTGGCAGGGGAGTCGGCGGGGGCTCCCTCGGGAGCTATCAGTTATCATCCTGTGCCAGAAACACACGGCCGTCCTCTGGTTGTCCTGCACCTGGAAGCTGTCCTGGTCCTTTGAGGTCACCCTTCTCAGACAACTGGCTATGGGTCTGGCTCCAGCTGCCCTTCCATGGGCAGATGAGTGCCTGCCCCCCACCCCCTCCCGGGCTGCACAGATGCAGGGTTCTTACAGCAGAATTCTCTAGACCCCGAGTTCTCTTGAGAGTGAACGTGTGCATCCCATGAGCCCTCCAGGAGGAGACACGGTGGATGCCACACGCCTGAGTTGTCCTGAAGCAGCCACTGTCCTGCAGGCTTTGTGCGGACGGTGGTGGACGTGGGGCTCTCAGTGAAGGTGACCGCCCAGGTTCCTGGGAGCGTGCTCCAGTGCTCCCGCCCAGAGCCCAGGAAAGAAGCCGGCAAACTCCTGTTGCTCTTTGTTTCAAGTCAGAGACACAATGTAACAGGAGAGTGGACCCCAGAGAGAGCCTGGCAGGGGTTGCTTTTCCATGGTCCTGTGGGGGGGGGGGGCTGCAGCTGTCACCAGCTCTCAGGCTGGGCCCCACTTGGTCCTTGGTCCCACCTCTGCGCTGCAGGCTGGTGCAGTCCCTGTGAGCAGCCSTGCAGCTGGGCCTGCCCATCACCTTTCACCTTGAGAAAGCTGGGTTGGGAAACTTGTTAATATAAGTCCTCAAAACTTAGTTTGGGAAGAGAATTCTCCTCTAGTGAAAATACTGGCCCTGCAGGCACTCCCAGAGCATGCCAGAGACTGCGGGGGACACGGCTGCCTGCACAGAGGCGGCCCTGCCATGGTCAGGGCTGTGCAGTGCCAACTCCCTCCTCTGCCCCCAGAACTGGTCATGCTCCTGGAGTGGTGGTCCTGCACGGAGTGCACTCTGTTCACCGACCAGGCCACGGTGGAACACTTCGGGAAAGAGCACGTGGTCATCATCCTCAATCACAACTTCGAGATCGACTTCCTCTGTGGGTGGACCATGTGTGAACGCTTTGGTGTGCTGGGGGTGAGCAGGGGGCCCCAGGGAGGCTCTGGGAATGAGCAGCAGGGAGGTATGGGGGGGGTGAGCAGTGGGTTCCCAGGGAGGTGTTGGGG